TCTCAATGCCTAGCGCCACGGTCGGCCCCGTGGTCTCGGCAGCGCCAAATAACAAGCGCGCATGCGCCTCTGTCGCCCCACCGATAATCAGTGTTAGTACCCAGTGACTGGCGAATGCCATTAGTACTGCGCGCACCGACAATGCCGCGCACACAAACCATCATGTTGCCAACAGCGCCGCCCGCACAGACAGTGCCCCGCGCGCAGACCCAATGCCAAACACCAGCGCCCAGCCGCTGGCAGATCCAAATAGTGCCGCGCGCGCCAACAGCAATGCGCGCGCAGACCCTGATGCTCAAGACAAAGTTGCTGCCATCGGACTTGCTTCCATAGAAGACTAAGTCTTTTTCATTATAATTATATAGTAGTTTTACTTCATTCATTTTCAGTGTGCTTCTACAACTTTCTTAGGTCAACTCATATAACTTTGGTTTATTTTTTTAAGCATTATTAAGGGGGACCAAAGCATTCAAACATTTAAGCATTCAAACAATTCTCTGTACTGGTGTCTCTCCCCCCTCCCCCTCCCCCCGATACTGCATTGCATCTTGCAATAAATTTCATCATCATCATTACAATCATCAACTTTCATCATCAATTGCTCATTTTTTGCTGCTCAATTGCTCATGACATTGGTTTTCCCGTACGGCACTGACAATCTAGTCTAGCGTAAGGCGAGGACCTCAGTTAGCGCATAGCAACCGCAATGACTGACATCGGTTGCTTAGCCTTACGTAGCCCTTTCAAGGAACTTCAGGAAGGCACCGCGTAACAGTTGGTATCAGAGCCTAGGCTCGACATCAGATGAGGGAACCCATTGCCATCATCATCACCATTTCTGACCATGGTGAATTACGGGGATCGCATCACGACCCTAGAAGAGATGGTTGACGCATTACGGCCCATCGTGGATACGTTGCCTGATCTAAAAGCCAGCCTAGTGCAAAGCTTGGATGACCTGGACCGCAGAATGCGGCAGGCAAAAATTAACATAGCAAACATCAGTCGCGACTCTGAGGAAGACCGGCAAACGGCTGCCGTCGAGGCAACCGAAATTCATGGCAAATTCGAGGACCTCCAACAGGAGCGTGCCGAGGATTTAGCCCATCGGGAACTAGAGGCAGACAGACTGAGCGTCATGCATCAAACCATAGACAACTTGACAGGCCAGCTCAATGTTGTCAATGCTGCCCTTCAAAGCCTGCTCAAAGGAGGCGAAAACCAAATCAGAGGTGCCATGAACATCGCCCCCATGCCACAAAAGCTGAAAATTCCGGATCCCAAGCCATACAACGGAGCCCGGGATGCTAAAGAAGTGGAAAACTTCATCTTCGACATCGAACAATACTTCGATGCCGTGGGAAAATTGGAAACATACAAAAAAGTAGCAACTGCTGCCATGTATCTTCAGGGTGATGCAAAACTCTGGTGGCGAGTCAAATACGAAGCCATCAGGGCCGGTGAAGATACTCTCCAGACATGGGTAGAACTGAAGGTCGCCATACGCTTCCTGTTCTTCCCCAAAAATGTGGAATACAATGCACGGAGAAAGTTGCGTGAACTCTGCCACACCAGGTCAGTGCGGGACTACGTGCGTGAATTCTCCGCACTCATGCTAAACATACGGGATATGGGGGCAAAGACAAACTGTTCGCATTCATAGAAGGTTTAAAACCTCATGCTCGTATAGAGCTGCAAAGACAACAGGTAGATACCCTGCCCAAGGCCATTCAAGCTGCAGAGTGCCTTGGGGATTATAAGTTGGAAACTCAGAAGGATAGGCCCCAGCCGCCTGTCCGATAGGGATACAACGGGAGCCAACCTAGCAACGGTGGCCCCAACAGAAATGGAGGAGATCGAGCTGCATCCAAATCTAAGACTCCTTCCTCAAGCAGCAACAGTGCTGCGTCAGTCAACAACAATCAGGGGAGAAAGCCCCCATCAGAATGCCGTCATTGCGGTGGGAAACATTGGAACAATCAATGCCCTAATACCCAAATCAATGCTCAACAAACTGTTGACGATGATGAGTCAGATCAGGACGGCTCAGTCGGCGCAGAACAAGTAGGGCCTTCAACGCATTTGTTGGCTCCATTCATGATACCTTGGCGGGAACCAGTGCTGGCAACCCCAAGAAGAACACATTCCCAATCGACAAGAAAGGGAAAGGAAAGGCGGACGAGAGGCCTCCCACATCACAAAAGAGGACCTTAATGTTCGTTGACATGAAAGTAAACGGCAGACCTATTCGGGCATTGATAGACATGAGTGCTAGCCACAACTACCTGGCCTCAACTCAGGTGCAATGCCTCGGTCTAGCAGTGCAAAAATGCAAGGGTCGTGTCAAGGCTATCAACTCTCCATCTCAGCTAGTGAGTGGAATAGCCAAAGAAGTGCCAATGAAGCTTGGCACATTCAAGGGAATATTCGACCTACGCATAGCTATCATCGATAACTTCGAACTGATAGTGGGATTGGACTTTCTCAAGCAAACAAACACCATCCCGATACCATATGCCAACATGCTCCTAATGATGGGAGACAACGGGGCCAAACCCCGTACCATACCGTGCATACCCATAAATATGACCACTGGAAACATCTCGGCCATGCAGTCAAAGAAGGGAACCAATAGACCTGAACCTACGGTTCCGGCTGCCCTCAATATCATCAATCAAACATCAGATCATCGGCGTCCAACAGCTCATGGCGCCCCTCATTGTGTGAAGACCTGTCAAGCATTCCAAAAGCACAAGTCGGATCACTCAGCACAAGCGGGACTCTTGGAGCCACTGCCTGTCCCACAGAGACCTTGGGAAAGCATTTCCCTAAATTTCATCACACGATTACCCAAGGACGGAAATCATGCAACCATCATGGTGGTAGTAGACCAATTTTCCAAGTATGCTACCTTCATCGCAGCCCCACAGAACATATTGGTAGAAGATACAGTTCGACTCTTCTTCTCTCATGTTGTCAAACATTGGGGTATTCCCAGCAACATCATTAGTGACTATGACCCACGCTTCACTAGCAAATTTTGGACCCAACTCTTCAGTTGCCTCGGATCCAAATTGAGTTACAACTCAAGCCATCATCATCAGCAAACATATGATCAAATACACTGGTTCAATGACATGCTGGAGGAATATCTCTGCCAATTTACAACCGGGTCACAAAAATATTGGGTGAAGCTTCTGCATGCTGCTCACCTGTGTTTCAATTCACAAAAGTGCACCCATACAAACAAAAGCGCTTTTGAAATTATTACCGGATAGCAACCGTTACTCCCACAGAATGTGAATGCACCAAACATGCCAACATCTCACCGAGCTGCCAGTTTCTCGACAGAATGGGAGAAAACTTTGAAGATAGTGTGGAGCCATCTTGTCAAAGCCCAAGACAGGGCAACGAGGTATGCCGAACAAAATCTTCACTTTGCCCAACATCAAACAGGGGACAAAGTGATGGTAAGAACCCCGAGGCGGAACTTATTTGCAAAGAGGACCCAAGATCCTCGCCTATTGCAAAGCTACATCGAACCTTTTTCCATTGAAAGGCGCATCGGGAAATCCACATACCAGCTGAACTCACCAGCCTGGTGGAAAATCCATCCAGTCTTCCATGTCAGCCGCCTCAGGCCATTTCAGAAAAATATGGAAAATCATTTAGAAAGCCACCTCACAACACCGAGGGGAACAGACCTCCCAACCATCAAGAGCCTGACCAATCATCATCATCCTGCAGGTAAGGCTCCGAGGACGTCGCCAAATTAGGTGGGGGAGAATGTCATAGGCTGCTTTCCATCATCGACCTATGACCCCTTGAATGCGCCCCGTGGCATCCCGGCAAGCCTCCCAATGCCTAGTGCCACGGTCG